TTCCACTACCTCTACTACCTCTGCTACCTCTACTACTTCCACTACCTCTACTACTTCCACTACCTCTACTACCTCTGCTACCTCTACTACTTCCACTACCTCTACTACTTCCACTACCTCTACTACTTCTGCTACCTTCTACTACTTCCACTACCTCTACTACCTCTGCTACCTCTACTACTTCCACTACCTCTACTACCTCTGCTACCTCTACTACTTCCACTACCTCTACTACCTCTACTACTTCCACTACCTCTGCTACCTCTACTACTTCCACTACCTCTACTACTTCCACTACCTCTACTACCTCTGCTACCTCTACTACTTCCACTACCTCTGCTACCTCTACTACTTCCACTACCTCTACTGCCTCTACTACCTCTACTACTTCCACTACCTCTACTACCTCTACTACCTCTGCTACCTCTACTACCTCTGCTACCTCTACTACTTCCACTACCTCTACTACCTCTACTACTTCCACTACCTCTACTACCTCTACTACCTCTACTACTTCCACTACTTCTACTACTTCTACTACCTTTACTACTTCTACTACTTCTAACAAAACCAACAATACACACAGTGTGTAGAACATCTGTATTTGAGAAGAAATATAATAAATTAAACATTATTCAAATGTTTTCCAGGAGAAATGATACATTTCATCATCACTCAACGATATTAAGTGGTCGATAAAAATAGTCCAAAACGAGAGAGCAGAGTTTATTTTACGGATTCAGAACGTGTGTCTTCATCCTGCTGCACCCGACTGAAGGAACATCTCACACGTGTCAGCTGAAGATGAACCAAACTGATGTTTCAGTCAGTGAATCATTAGAGGCCGACAACAGAAGACGCACAACACGAGTACAACGGCGAAGCAATTCACGACCTAGTCATGGAATGACAGCTGCTCCATGGTCTGTTTGACTCTAAATGGACCCAAACTTACTAAATGAACATCATGCTGTGTTGATGAAGACTTGAAAGTACCATGAGACCACATACTAATGGGGACAATGTTTATCGGGTTAATACAGTCAGTAAAAGTTTGACCTAGGATCATTATCCCGTTGGCTTTCTATCCAGTCCACCCTACAAACAGACTGATGGCCGTCAGAGACGGAGAAGTTGCTCAGCGTGCCTCCATTCATCTCTTACTACAAAGGAGTAATCTGCTTCTAACAGAAGGTCGTGTACTCGCCCCGGTTTTCTTCCCCATTGGAACATTCCTCGCAGGAAACCTGAGCACATTGTAGGTAAATAACCTGGTCTGCTTAAGCGCTGTCCTCCAGGAGGGAAACATGAGAGCGGCCCTCTGTCCCGCCGACTTTGCCCAAGTCCTAATGATGAGTTTCACGTAGTTCCCACCATATGTCCTGGTTCTGTGGGAAACATGTGATCTGCCTTCATCCTCCCTCTCTGCTTTGACCGGATAAACGTCAGCCCCTCCCTCGCCGACACCCGACAAGTTCCAGGTGACGCACTTTTCAGGGGCATGTCCGCCAACAGCAGACTTCTGGGGAGATGTTTTAAGCAGCTTAGACTTCAAAACCATCAACAGAACAATTCATCGTTTCACAAATGTCACCCAATGAATGTATGAATGTGTGAACGCTGTTTGCTCCAAAGCACCACTGGTACAGATGTACAGGCCACACACACACACACACCACGGGTCCAGCTGCAATCCAACCCCAAAGCTGCCCCCATTGAAAGACCTCCAGGAGAAGAGAAGGAGATAAAACAGGTGAGAGGGGAGGCAGAGACACGAGAAAACACCCACAGGAGGCAGCTGGTGTAATTACAGAGCGGCAGCCGCAGAGAGAGCATGAAGGGGGAGGAGAAAAAAAAAGTTGTAGAAGTTGTAGCGCCGGTCTCCACCTCTCGCCTGCCCCCCTCCTGCCCCCCTGCCCCTCCTGCCCCTTGGCACCTGTCCACCAGCTGGACAACCTGCACTGGGAAGTTTGCCACTTGACTTGGAGAAGTTTTGCTCTATGCAACAGAAGGCTTCCTTTAACAATTGGATTTGTCTTCAGCTTCATGAGCATTATGCAACACAGGGTTGTAAATTCAAATGTAGCTCCTTCAAATGCATAAACATGCGTAGAAATGTTTCTGTAGGAACAACGTATAAGTATATTAAAGTAAATCTCTAAAGAAAGTAATAAGAGGAAGACTGATGTATTGCATAAATCCAACAAACAATGCAATTACACGTACCAACAACAGATATGACCAATAAAATCATTTAAATTCATTATATTCTGTATAGTCCAAAATCACAGCATTTGTACACATGGAACATCCTCTGTCCTAAATCCCTCACATCAGCAGACAAAACGCCCCAAAATGAAAGAAACCTTCTGCAGGAAGAAAAACTGAGAAACCTCAGTGAGAACCTCAGAGAAGGATCCGTCTCCTGATGGACAGAATGCAATGATGTCACGAGTACAGAATGAACAATGTAGAAGATGAACAATACGTTCAATTCCTCTCAGAAATGATTCAAATAGAGAGCAGTGACCAGGTGTGCAGCAGGACCACTGCAGGGACAACCACCATCCACCATCAGATAGAACCACCATCAGATAGAACCACCATCACACCGAACCACCATCAGATAGAACCACCATCAGATACAACCACCATCACATAGAACCACCATCAGATAGAACCACCATCACATAGAACCACCATCACATAGAACCACCATCACACAGAACCACCATCAGATAGAACCACCATCACACAGAACCTCCATCAGATAGAACCACCATCAGATAGAACCACCATTACATAGAACCACCATCACATAGAACCACCATCACATAGAACCAACATCAGATAGAACCACCATCACATAGAACCACCATCACATAGAACCACTTTAAGATAGAAACACCATCACATAGAACCACCATCAGATAGAACTACCATCAGATAGAACCACCATCAGATAGAACCACCATCAGATAGAACCACCATCACATAGAACCACCATCACATAGAACCACTTTAAGATAGAACCACCATCAGATAGAAACACCATCAGATAGAACCACCATCAGATAGAACCACCATCACATAGAACCACCATCAGATAGAACCACCATCAGATAGAACTACCATCAGTGAGAACTACCATCAGATAGAAACACCATCAGATAGAACCACCATCAGATAGAACTACCATCAGTGAGAACTACCATCCGATAGAAACACCATCAGATAGAACCACCATCACATAGAACCACCATCAGATAGAACTACCATCAGTGAGAACTACCATCAGTTAGAAACACCATCAGATAGAACCACCATCAGATAGAACTACCATCAGTGAGAACTACCATCAGATAGAAACACCATCAGATAGAACCACCATCTACAGAAATCTGTGACAAGCACAAAGACTTCAGGAAGGAAACAAACAAAGTCAGGGATGTGCATTAATGTTGAGAGTAATAGTGAAGGAGCTAATAATGGTGTTAGAAGCGGTAGGTGTCAGCAGGGCCACGGCAGGAGGCCGGACCAGATACAGACATGATCCATGGAAACCTGTGAGGCTAAACTCTTATACAAAGGAGCTCGGTGTGTCCTAAGAAGTCCCCCAGCAGTCTAAGCCTATAGCAGCTTATCTAAGGGCTGGTCCACGGCAACCTGAGCCAGCCCTAACTATAGGCCATATTAAAGAGGGAAGTCTTAAGCTTTATCTTAAATGACCTGACTGAAAGTGGAAGCTGGTTCCACTAAATCGTAGCTTGATAACTGAAGGCTCTGCTCCCATCCTACTATTAAAGACTGTTAGAAACTACTAGTAACCCAACGCAGCTCTCGAGCAGGTAATATGGTGGTATAAGCTCCTTAAGATACGACGGTGCCTTGTAGGTGAGGAGGAGAACCTTAAATCATATTCTTGAGCAGAGAAGTACAGAGAAGCAAAATACCCTTTTATGATCCCCCTTTCTGAATGTTTCCTAAAACACGAGCTGCAGCTTTTTGAATCAACCCGAGAGGCTCGTATAACAATTGTAGTAATCTAGTCTAGAAGTAGCAAATACGTTAACTACCCAGGTATGCAGTACTACAGCTGTATAAAGTATAATAGCTCTACCGTCTGGGAGTCCGCCACGCGGCTCGTTGGTCTAGGGGTATGATTCTCGCTTTGGGTGCGAGAGGTCCCGGGTTCAAATCCCGGACGAGCCCATGACTTTTTTTTTTTAATATTTATCACCTATTGCATGTAAATCTATATTAATTGGTTTACTAATTGTTAATTAAAAGAAATACTATTACACTAATAACTATAATAACTATTGTCGGACTATTGTTGGTACCGTCGCTGTTTTTAATAAATCAACTTGTCACGTGGTTTACAGTGCATGTGTCTTTTGTGGCATTGAAACTGAATACAATTCAAGTCTGAATGTGTTTCATTGTTTCTACTTTGATTAAACAAAGAGACGAGGCCTTTTTATGAATAAAAGGGACAGCAGCGTTTCAGCGGGCTTCAGTAGCATTTGGACACCAGCAGAGGTCAGTAGCTCACTACGATGATTAACTACTGAGATAATGTCTCCATGTCCAGATGAGAGATGGGGGCTGAATATTAAAATGTATACAAATATCCAGGGAGACATGGATGTACAACTTGCATACCGTCTGCTAACAACTTTGTGATTATCATGTTCATTGTTTGACTGCTTTAATGTGAAAACTCACATAGTTTAACAGTGGCAGCTGAAGCAGTAACATTGGCAGAGGTATTTCTACTAAACTCAAAGTAATAGAACTATTTATGACATCACACGAAGCGTATTCATATTGTTATTATTGCTCTCATTATTGTTAGTATTTATTCATGTTGACGATAACGTTACTTTGCGTCTCTATGTGGGACGTCTTCTCTTCTCTTCAGCGCTCAGAAGGTCGATCAGGAAACCTCTGCGTTCATAGACCCTTAAGCCAAAGGTGAACGCGGCCACACCACAAAATTCCTTAAAATAAAACCTTTATTATATAAAAATGCTTTTGATACAAAAAAATTGTCACAGGTGTACATTACACAAAGCATTTTTAACTGAGACAACAAATACAGGTTTTAAGGGGTTTTTACTGACAGTGGTTGGAGGTGAGGCCTAAAGCCCGTAGTATTAAAAAGTTCCCCCGGACACACGGACCCCTCTGCAGAAAGGTTCCTGTCAGAGCGTCCAGCAGGAAGCTCGCCGCGCTCCGTCGGAGGGAGGGGGGTGACTCCTCAGCTCAAACCCTCTCCTGGGAAACTACACCCTCTCTCTTCTTTTTCTCTAAGTGCATAAAAGGTCTTCTCACTTTTTGATACCAGGTCTTGTGCAGAACATATTATAAAGTAATGACATTAAGTGCTGGATGAACCACGGAGACACTGTTTGCCTCTGCATAGAGAATAATGTGTGGGGGGGGGGGGACAAGGAAAGGCAATGCTTTTTCCTTGGGATGGTGTTACGCTCCGTCCACGTGGCCCCGTGTGAAAGGAGAAGCCCAAAAACGCCATCTCCTTCCTACTCAGTGGTGAGTTCCCTCGGCCCAAAATCTTGTTTCCTGTTTAGACGGAAGTTTTATTCTGAAAAGGCCGCGTTCTCGCGTTCTTCTTGTATGCAGTTCACGGTGTGCGCTAAGCTAACGTTAGCACTCATTCAGGGGTTTCCCTCGCAAAAATAAAGAGGGGGAAAAAATAAATACATTTAAAACGTGGTTTTTGTTCTCCGGGGAAGCAAACGTGAGCGCGGTGTCCCTCGCTTCGTTCCAAAGCCCCCCCCCCCCCCCCCCCCCCCATGTGACCACTAGCTCCAGATGCATCAGCCAGATGTGTCCAGGTGGGTCCAAACCAGAACTGACACGAACGCACCAGAAGCACACGAAGCCCTTCGGTTTGATTCCTGCACTAAACGTCTCAGCACAAACTCTCACTTTTCTAATGAACGACAGAGAAGAAAAAAAAAGAAAAGACTCCTTCAAACCCAAATACGGCGACCGACGGACACACAACTCGATTATCTACACAAAAACAGGAACACGAATAACAAAAGTCGCTAATAAGAATAATTTGTTTTAACTGTGAAATAGCTTCATGATCTACGGTCAGTACGAGTGGCAGCGAGGCCGCCCCGTTGCATTGTGGGTCATAAGAAGAGCTGAGGAGAGCCTGTACACGATAGCAGCAAACATACTTTGGGTAAAAGGGGCGATGAGGGTGAAGAAGACTCATCGCTGACTTCATTACACGTATGCACAGTGGCTCCACACGTGTGTGCTCATTTGGTGTGTCGGTGTCACGCGGCGCTCACGTGGGAAATTAAACGCTGGTCGGATTAGTCGGATTCAAACAAACAAGACAATTCGTTCACAATTTGAAATGTGAGGGACAGTAACCCAGAAATGACAATAATCACACTGCGACCGCGGCCCCGTTCCACGCGCTCGCTCCTCCACGCCTCCACGCGGTCATCGTCTCTGTTGTCTTCTAACAGCTGTCCCGTCGTCTGTCCTCGGCGCCGAGCGGTGGATCGGCCGACGAAAGTTACAGAGTGGAATAATTCCTCCTTTCATTCATTTATATCATTTTAAACACTATGTACAGCGGTGCCCGATGAGGACGGCGCCGACCCACCGGCTGGGCGCCGATGAGTTTGAGTGGCGGCCAGGTGTGGACAGGTGGAGGTCTTTTGACCGAGAGGTGTGGGCGGGGCAAAGGGGGCTTCCCTCTTTAGGAGGAATGAACATCTGAGAGCTGCTGGCCGTGTTATCTCCTCCTTCGTGCCCTGCGGTGGGGCGGTGGGGGGTGATGGGGGGTGATGGTGGGGGACACGTGGTGGAAGTGACCGGTGCTGCTCGGCCAGGGGGCTCCGGGGGGACTGGAATGGTGAGACGACGGACGCGGGGGCCTCGAGCCCAGCAGCTGGGCGGCGGAGTGAACCGCTCAGGGCCACAAGTCGGCACGTGAGTTCTTTCCCTGGTAAAGTGGGCGGGGCCGGACGAGGCCGTCCCCTTTGTAGCGGGCGGACGGCATCCTTCCCGGCGGGGTTACGGGCGCCGTTGGGAGGGGTCACGAGGAGTCGGTGCAGGGCGAGGGGGGCGGCGGGCACAGGTGGAAGTAGGAGCGCTCTGTGGACGGGGACGGGGGGCAGCTCTCCTCGGCCGACAGGTACTGGGAGCGGGGGGTGGGGGGAGGAGGGTAGGGGTCCGAGTCCGAGTTCAGGTCCATGTAGTACTTGTTGTGTTTGCCGTGGCCCGCGGCCTTCCAGCGCCCCGCCGACGACGCCGGCCCGCCCACCGGATGGTGGGGGGTGTAGTCGCTGTCGCAGACGTCGGTGCTGCAGGGAGTGGTGGGGGGGGCGGCGCCACGGGCCGGGTGGTACGGTCTGAAGGGGGGAGACACGCTCACGTGAGAATCCATCGCTTGACTGTAAGCACAGGTCATACATGTGTGTTACCTGTGTGTGTGTTACCTGTGTGTGTGTGTTACCTGTGCGTGTGTGTTACCTGTGTGTTTGTGTTACCTGTGTGTTTGTGTTACCTGTGTGTGTGTGTGTGTTACCTGTGTGTTTGTGTTACGTGTGTGTTACCTGTGTGTGTGTGTTACCTGTGTGTTTGTGTTACCTGTGTTTGTGTTACCTGTGTGTTTGTGTTACCTGTGAGTGTGTTCCATGTGTGTTTGTGTTACCTGTGAGTGTGTTACCTGTGAGTGTTACCTGTGTGTGTGTTACCTGTGTTTGTGTTACCTGTGTGTGTGTGTTACCTGTGTGTGTGTGTGTGTTACCTGTGTGTTTGTGTTACGTGTGTGTTACCTGTGTGTGTGTGTTACCTGTGTGTGTGTGTTACCTGTGTGTTTGTGTTACCTGTGTTTGTGTTACCTGTGTGTTTGTGTTACCTGTGAGTGTGTTCCATGTGTGTTTGTGTTACCTGTGAGTGTGTTACCTGTGAGTGTTACCTGTGTGTGTGTTACCTGTGTTTGTGTTAACTGTGTTTGTGTTACCTGTGTGTTTGTGTTACCTGTGTTTGTGTTACCTGTGTGTTTGTGTTACCTGTGAGTGTGTTCCATGTGTGTGTGTGTTACCTGTGTGTGTGTTACCTGTGTGTTTGTGTTACCTGTGTTTGTGTTACCTGTGTGTTTGTGTTACCTGTGAGTGTGTTCCATGTGTGTTTGTGTTACCTGTGTGTGTTACCTGTGTTTGTGTGTTACCTGTGTTTGTGTTACCTGTGTGTTTGTGTTACCTGTGAGTGTGTTCCATGTGTGTTTGTGTTACGTGTGAGTGTGTTACTTGTGTGTTTGTGTTACCTGTGTGTGTGTGTTACCTGTGTGTGTGTTACCTGTGTGTTTGTGTTACCTGTGTGTGTTTAACCTGTGTTTGTGTGTTACCTGTGTTTGTGTGTTACCTGTGTGTTTGTGTTACCTGTGAGTGTGTTACCTGTGTGTGTGTTACCTGTGTTTGTGTTACCTGTGTGTGTGTTACCTGTGTGTGTTACCTGTGTATGTGTGTTACCTGTGTGTTTGTGTTACCTGTGTATGTGTTACCTGTGTGTGTGTTACCTGTGTGTGTGTGTGCTACCTGTGTGTTTGTGTTACCTGTGTGTTTGTGTTACCTGTGTATGTGTGTTACCTGTGTGTTTGTGTTACCTGTGTGTTTGTGTTACCTGTGTGTTTATGTTACCTGTGTGTGTGTGTGTGTTACCTGTGTGTGTGTGTTACCTGTGTGTGTGTGTGTGTTACCTGTGTGTTTGTGTTACCTGTGTGTGTGTGTGTTACCTGTGTGTTTGTGTTACCTGTGTGTGTGTGTTACCTGTGTGTGTGTGCTACCTGTGTGTGTTACCTGTGTGTGTGTGTGCGTGAGTGTGTTACCTGTGTGTATGTGTTACCTGTGTGTGTGTTACCTGTGTATGTGTTACCTGTGTGTGTGTGTTACTTGTGTATGTGTTACCTGTGTGTGTGTTACCTGTGTGTGTGTGTTACCTGTGTGTGTTTGTGTCACCTGTGAGTGTGTTACCTGTGTGTGTGTGTTACTTGTGTATGTGTTACCTGTGTGTGTGTTACCTGTGTATGTGTTACCTGTGTGTGTTTGTGTCACCTGTGAGTGTGTTACCTGTGTGTGTGTGTTACCTGTGTTTGTGTTACCTGTGTGTGTTTGTGTTACCCATGTGTGTGTTACCTGTGTATGTGTTACCTGTGTGTGTGTGTACCTGTGTGTGTGTTACCTGTGTGTGTGTTACCTGTGTGTGTATGTGTTACCTGTGTGTGTGTTACCTGTGTATGTTTGTGTGTTACCTGTGTGTTTGTGTTACCTGTGTGTGTTTGTGTGTTACCTGTGTGTTTGTGTTACCTGTGTGTTTGTAGTTACCTGTGTGTGTTTGTGTGTTACCTGTGTGTTTGTGTTACCTGTGTGTGTGTGTGTGTGTGTGTGTGTGTGTGTGTGTGTGTGTTACCTGTGTGTTTGTGTTACCTGTGTGTGTTTGTGTGTTACCTGTGTATGTGTTACCTGTGTGTGTGTGTGTTACCTGTATGATCTGGTGGTGGACGGGCTGTTGGAGGAGTAGAAGATCTCTGCGTTGTAGAGTGAGCGGTCGGTAGCCGGAGACGGAGGCGGGTTCAGGATCTACACACACACACACACACACACACACACATTGACTTGTGTCATCTGACTGTGTGTGTGAGTGTGTGTACATTTTTAACCAACATATTTATGTATTTATTTGTTTTTCCTTTTTTTAAAGCCTGTTTGAGGGTTAAGACTCGGTGACATACATAGGACGGGGGGGGGTCAGGTGGGGGTCACAGTTAAGGTAAGTGGTTAGAGACAAGAGACAAGGCAGTGTGTGTGTGTGTGTGTGTGTGTGTGTTACCTGGGGGTAGAAGGCTCCCTTGGTAGACGAGGAGCTGCTGGACGAGGCGCCGGTCACATGGTTCCTGTCATACAGAGGAGCTCCACTGCTGCTGCTGCCCATCAGGCTGACCGAGCTCATGATGGACTTCCCACAGGAGATACCTGCAACGTGCACTGTGCTGTTACCGTACGCTGGGACAGATGTGTTACCTCCACGTCTTCTCATCTCATGCCTGCACCCGTGTGACCGTACCTTGGAAGGCGGCGTGCTGCGAGCTGCTGGGGGCGATGAAGTTGAGGGGCACGTGGGGCGTCCCGCTGATGTACTCGTGGGGAAACGTTCCACCGGGGCCCTTGTAGCGCCGACACACCATGCGCTGGCAGACAAAGTAAGCGCCTCCGATCACAAACACCAGCAGTATGATGGCGATGACGGGGCCGATGGTGTTGGTGCCGGCGCTGGGGACGCCGCCCGAGGGAGGAGACACATACTCTAAGAGGGCGGGAGCAACGGAGGCGGGAGTCAGGGGACGGGCACTGCGCCACTTGCTTACGGGACATCGTAGTGATTTTACCACAGGCGAGCTCGTCCGATCCGTCGGGACAGTCGGAGTAGTTGTCGCACTGCTGTTTCTTGGTGATGCACTGGTTGTCGCCACAGCGGAACTGGTTTGGGGGGCAGATCGCTGGAGGACACAAAGACACAAGACGCTCATTTCTCACCACAAATGACAAGGTCCCGTACGGCGACGTGTTAGGAGACGGCACTGCAGCATCTTTAAGTGAACCCACTTTCGCAGTCCTGCTCATCAGAGTGATCGGCGCAGTCCGGTTCGCCGTTGCAGCGCCGCTGGGCATCGATGCAGCCACCTTTGTCACACTGGAACTGGTAGGCGGAGCAGACGGGGCAGTTCTCCTCGTCGCTGCTGTCGGCGCACTCGGGGATGCCGTCGCAGCGCCAGGCCATCGGGATGCAGTCGATCTCCCCCGTGGAGCAGGTGAACTGCTCCGTGGAGCAGGTGGGAGGCTCTGATGGGGGGGAGGGCGGAGGAGGTGCGCGTTCAGCGTGGCGGGGTAACCTGTAGCGACGGTATCTTGTTGCCGTGGTTTCGTTGCTCACCTCCGCAGTGCAGCAGGTCTTGCAGTAACACCAGGTGCATGGGACAAGAGCAGCGAGGGGTCCCGTCTCCTTTGGCGATGCAGATGTGGGAGCAGCCGCCGTTGTCACGGGAACACGGGTTGGATGCTGGAGAGAGGACACAAATCATTACACCACCCAACGAAGCATGTCTCCAACCATCACACCACCCAACAAAGCCTGACTTCAACCATTACACCACCCAACGAAGCATGTCTCCAACCATCACACCACCCAACAAAGTTTGTCTTCAACCATTACACCACCCAACGATGCCTGACTTCAACCATCACACCACCCAACAAAGTCTGACTTCAAACATTACACCACCCAACGAAACCTGACTTCAACCATCACACCACCCAACGAAGTCTGACTTCAATCATTACACCACCCAACAAAGTCTGACTTCAAACATTACACCACCCAACGAAACCCGACTTCAACCATCACACCACCCAACGAAGTCTGACTTCAATCATTACACCACCCAACAAAGTCTGACTTCAAACATTACACCACCCAACGAAACCTGACTTCAACCATTACACCACCCAACAAAGTCTGACTTCAACCATCACACCACCCAACAAAGTCTGACTTCAATCATCACAGCAGCCTGACTTCAACCATTACACCACCCAACGACGCATGTCATCAACCATTACACCACCCAACAAAGTCTGACTTCAACCATTACACCACCCAACGACGCATGTCATCAACCATTACACCACCCAACAAAGTCTGACTTCAACCATTACACCACCCAACGAAGCCTGCCTTCAATCGTTACACCACCCAACGAAGCCTGCCTTCAATCGTTACACCACCCAACGAAGCCTGACTTCAACCATCACAGCAGCCTGACTTCAACCATTACACCACCCAACGACGCATGTCATCAACCATTACACCACCCAACAAAGTCTGACTTCAACCATTACACCACCCAACGAAGCCTGACTTCAACCATTACACCACCCAACGAAGCCTGCCTTCAATCGTTACACCACCCAACGAAGCCTGACTTCAACCATTACACCACCCAACGAAGCCTGCCTTCAATCGTTACACCACCCAACGAAGCCTGACTTCAACCATCACACCACCCAACGAAGCCTGACTTCAACCATCACACCACCCAACAAAGTCTGACTTCAATAATTACACCACCCAACGGAGCCTGTCTTCAACCATTACACCACCCGACGAAGCCTGTCTTAAACCATTACACCACCCAACAACGTCTGACTTAAACCATCACACCACCCGACAAAGCCTGCCTGAAGCAGCCTGTTGTAATGGTGATGTGGTGCTGTGGCTCCATACCAAACTCCTGTGGGTCCATCTCCTCCACGGCGTGGATGGAGGTCAGGTAGGAGATCCGTCCCTGTATGCGCGTGCGTCCGTCTCCGCTCAGCTTGTCCACCCTCTCGATCATCTGCTGTTGCCGGTCGATCCAGTACAGGTGATCTCCCAGCACCGTCAGCCCCGTCGGCTGCAGGATGTTGGAGTCCTGCAGGACGATGCGATTGGCTCCTGGAGGAACGACGTCACAAGATCAGGCGAATGAACGGCTTCAGTCTGAACGTGTGTCACTTTTTTTCAGGTGACGTTTTGCGGGAAAAATCTCCTTTAGATTAGCTTTTTGCAAATTAACAATCTGAACGATAGTGGAGACGAAGGCCTCACGCAACAACCACTCGCGGATTCTGTTACGTGGCATGTGATCAAGTGTGACATGCGTTATAATAATCTTTCTCCAACGCGATGTGGACTTCTTACGTTTTGCTCTTCTCAGAGAAAAAGCTTTGACGTTTAAGGCGTCAGGCCCAACTTGTCTGTGACATCTTTCCCTCACAGACTCTTCTGGCTGTGGCTGATTGAGCCAAAGTAAACAAACACAGGAGGTTCTGTTTGTGTGCACGGCCGCTGTAAGCAAAGAGCTGACAGACATGCGCCGCGGTAAAGGTGCTCCAGTAGATGTATATAAAAGCATCTGGCAGTCTGCATAATTCCCTGCACATGACTTTGCAAAGAGTTGCGTGCCCTGACTGTGTGCAACGGATGATTGATTGATGCTGTGGCCACATTAAACTGCCCCCCCACTGTGGGAACCACTGGTTCAAACATCGACATGCTCACTGAACGGGCCTCCATACGTCGTCACTGCTTTGTGGCCCGTTAAACATCGCAGCCATTTGTCGTCTCTTGCCATGTGTGTATTTATTCTATAGTTCTGTTATGTCTGCTACTTCTTCATTCCTCAAACGCCAGCATGTTTTTTTTTTCTAACTTCTCGCTCGTTTCCTTTTTCCACCGTGAGAGACGGACGAGACCAGAGACGCGCTCGAGGTCCGGGGGGTTCAGGGCGCGTTAAAGCTCACGTCTCCTCCCCTCGGGCCGGTCGACTCACCCGTCAGGTCGCTGCTCTCGATGCGCTTGAGGTCGGCGTCGACCCAGAACAGTTTCCCCAGTTTGTTGTCCAGAGCCAGGGCGACGGGTCTGATCAGACCGGTGGTGAACAGGGACTCCCTCTCCGTCCCGTCCAGACTGGCTCCCTCGATCTTCGCCGAGCGCTCCTGCACCGTGGTGAAGTACATGTACCTGTGCGAGGGGGGGGGGACAAAGACACGTTCGTACGGGACGTCGCTGACCGCGTGCAGAGGGCCCTTTGCGCAGGTAATGAAAGTGAGCGCACCCTTTCTCAGCGTTGACCACGATGGCCCGCGGCTTGTCGGCGTCGTCCCTCAGGACCACGCCCACCATGACGCCGTCCATCCGCTGCACGTTGATGCTGTTGGTTGTCTCGCAGGTCCAGTAGATGTGGCGGCTGTAGGGGTCGAGGCTCAGGTCGTGGAGCTGGTTGTCCACCGGCTGAACGCTGCTGCTCACGATCATGGACGACTGGGAGGGGGGGGGGAAACGCAAGGTCAAAGGTCGCCGCTCTAACGTCTCAGATTCAGACAGGAAGAAAGGTCGGAATTCACATGATCTCCATTTGTTTTCGTGCCTCGTGGTCGGTGGCTGAGGTCGACGACAAGCGGAGGTTTTCACCGCAAACGTTCCCAAAGTTACCAAACGCCGTCGCGGGTTCGTTGGGGGCAGAAATCAGCACTACAAACGCCGCGGCGTCCCCGTGTGTGTTTCCCTACCATGGCTCCGTTGTCTTTGGCCCTGCGGATGTTCTGCCGGCCGTCCAGCCAGTAGACCAGCCGGTCCAGCGGGTCGTAGCTGACGGCCCGGACGTTCCGGAGGACGTGGATGGGCAGGATGATGTCGGGGCTCTGCTCGCCCAGCACCATGCGGCTGATGCTGGCCTTCTGGCTGAAGAGCAGGAAGCTGGAGGGAGCTGCGGGGGGGGAGGGAGGGAGGAGGGAGGGAGAGAGCGCCGCTGTTCACGCAGGGAGGCTCAAAGGTTTGGACAAAACGCCTGTTGCGAAACATACGAGACGGGGGAGGTTCCGTGAAGCGGCGGTACTTACAGCTGCAGTTCCGCCCGTCGGGGTTCAGCGTGTAGTGGGAGGCGCAGCGGCACTGCGCCCCGGCCGGCGTGGCCAGGCACAGGTGGGCGCAGTTGCCGTTGTTGTGGGAGCACTCGTTGGTCCCCTCCTGGCGGGAGGAGTGGAACACCAGGATGTCCAGCATCAGCTCCAGCTGGCCCTGAGGACACAGTAGAGTCACGGTGCCGTCCAGGAGACCCCTCCTACACCCCCCACTCCCCCCCACCCCCGGACACACTCCGTTACCTGCAGCACCACCGTGCGGTTGAGTCCGCTGCGTTTGTCCGCGCGCTCGATGCTGCGCAGGTTGAAGTCGGTCCAGTAGATGAAGTCCCGGTACTGAGTCAGGCCGAAGGGGTGAGGGAGGTCGTCCACTATGATCTCTCTCTGGAGGCCTGCGGCAGACACGACAACGCGGTCACCCCTCCGGGACGCCATTAGGCGGCGTGCGCCGGCCTGACGGAGGCACTAGAGGGAAGCTCAGCGCGTCGCCTCAATCAGCAGCCCTTTATTCTGCTAAAAAAGCGGCCGTAAGCCACGCCCACTTCCCGCGGCCAGGTCAAGCCCATGTCACCGCACCAAAACGGGTGAGAAACGGGTGAGCGTCGGTTCGCGCGGCCCGCTGTGTGTCCCCCCCCCCACCTTGCATGTTGGTGCTTTCGATCATGCACGTGTCCAGGTCCGTCCAGTACAGCCGATGGTCCAGGTAGTCGATGGTCAGCCCGTTGGCCCGGCCCACCTTGTCCACCAGCGTGGTGACGGTGCTGCCGTCCATGTAGGCTCTGGCTATCCGAGGCCGACCCCCCCACTCTGTCCAGTACATGTAGCTGCCGAGACAAAATGGAACAAAGAGGCGTGAAAAGGGGGGGGGGGGGGGGGGGGGGCGCGGCGGCTCCCGCCGTAACACCCGGCCGGATCCCCGTGCGTAACGGGGACAACTTGTCTCCGCACAACGTGGCCGGTAAAAGTGGCAGTTCTCCGTCTTACCCGTTGGCCGGGTCCAGCGCCAGCGAGCGCGGGTTGTCCAGCGAGCGCGGGTTGTCCAGGTCCTTGCAGACCAGGACCTGCCGGTACTGGCCGTCCAGCCGGGCCACCTCGATGCGGTTGGTGCCCGTGTCGGCCCAGTAGATGTTGCGTCCCATCCAGTCCACCGCCATGCCTTCTGGGTAGTCCAGCCCGAACTCTATGACGTGTTCTACCGAGCTGCCGTTCATGTACGCCCTGCTGATTGTCTGAGGGGAGGAGGGGGGAGGGAGGGGTCAGGGGTCAGTAGAAGAAAATGAAGCATCCGAGAATGCTCAATGTCCATGACGTAGATATAAGCGCCTCCCGCTACGCTAACGAAGACACAACAATACGGATATTCAGGTGATTATTCAGTGTTGAAAGCGCATCGTGGTCTTTAACACTTTAATCACAAAAGCACCACTTTAAATCTTGTCTTGATGAGATGAGAAAAAGGGGTGAACAAACTTAAGAAGTCTGAAGACTTCTTCTGAATAACCCCGTTGTGATTTGTGTTTAACATGAATTCCTCCACCCACTTTGGCCTGTATGTCCGTCCAGTAAATCCTCCTTTCAGAGACGTCAAAGTCCAGAGCGGAGGCCTCTTTGACTCCGTTCAGAGGGATGGGGACGTCGTTGCTGTTGGTCCCCAGAGAGATACTCCTGATGTTGTCCCTGAGGCAGAGACAAAGCGTCGGACACGTTAAATGCCAGTTAGGACCGTCCATCCGTGCGCTGCCGACGCCGATTTATGGCCGCTCGGGGGGGTCGCGAAAAGGTTGAAACGGGCGCGATGAAGAGTCATGGGAAACAAAAGAATAAATAAAATAAATTGACGTCCTTCGTACTGTTGACTCGTTTCGCTGAGTTAGCTGTGATAGGACAACGGAGCGTCAGTCCGTCTGCGTCTACACAAGAGTTCATGTGTATATATACAATACATATCATGCATATGTGTACATATATGTATATTGTTGAGTATCCTGGGGGCTGCTGACATAAACAGTAGCGGCGGCGTCTCTCCCACCTGTTGGTGAAGAGCAGGAAGGCCTCGGGCACCACGCAGGTCTGCAGGTCTGACAGGAGCTCCATCCCCATGGGGCAGGCGCAGCTCACCGCCTGCCGACACCAGAAGCACAGGTGGCTGCACCCGCCGTTGCCTCCAGCGCAGCCGTTGGTCCCTGCGAGCGGATCGGCGTCCGTTTCAGAAACACGGTGCGTTTGTTTGTTTTGGTGGGGGTGGTGGTGGTGGTGCGGCTCCTTACCGTGCGTCTCGGTCACTCTGGTGGCCTTCAGCCCCATCAGATCCGGCAGCTGGTCGATGATGATCTCCCGCACGGCCGTGGCCTTGTGGACCCTCTCGATGCTCCGCCTCTGCCAGTCCGTCCAGTAGATGTGGTCCCCCAGCAGGGTGAAGCCGAAGATGTGGGGCAGCTTGTCCTCCAGCAGAGTCTGCCTGTTGCCGCCGTCCACGTCGATCACCTGAGGCGGCGGGTGGGGGTGGGGGGGGGGGGGGGGGGGCACGTTTAGAGCTGGAGGGCTTGTGCAGCACATCAAAGTCGTTAGACAATATCGCAGTTCAATTGTACGACTGCAGGAGAAAGAGACAAAGGTGGAAAAGTGAAACGCTTCCACTTTGGGTTGTCTTCTGCAGCTGATGTTTCCCTTCAGAGGAGCACTTATGACTTATGAAGAGGAGAGACGGAGGAGACAGGATGGAGGGAGGAAAGGACATCCACGGAGCAGGACAAAATAACGGAAACGCCAGCGGAAAGGTGATTTTTTTTTTTTTTGCAGGAACCCCTTTGAGATGAACGCAGTCATTTGTCTGCATCAGAGCTTCCGTGTGGATGAGCACGACGCCGCCACACGCTCATTATGACGAAGGCTGCTGTAAGAACACGAGGAAAACAACTTTAAGACGTTAAAAGAAACAGCAAAAATCCGCCAAACAGAAAGCAAATCAAAGTCGTCACGTGGATTTTTGCTTGGTTGATCCCAGGAAAATGCTGGCGCGGCGAGGAGAACTCCTCAAGTGACAATGAGGGGCTGCTAACTGCTTAGGAAAATGTCGTACTGATATGATCCGTAGACGAGACCCCCAGAGAGAAGGTCACCCGTCGCTAGACATTCAAACGCGACAGGCTTGGATTCTCCTGGAACCGGGGCTGGTTCACCAGAACCTCCATCGGGTCAGACTCCAGGAGACGCCAGGTCCACGTCTCCTCCTCCGACCACGAAGCAGAGGTTCCTCCCGTCTGAGGACGGAGGTTCCGCTGGGAGGATCGGACCAGGCAGGACTGCTGCTGTCAAACAACAGGTGTCCTAAAGGGACTCGTGAACGTCTCTGTGTCCCCACAGAGCGACAGGTCCAACATAGAGGGGAGGTTCCTCGTTAGAACCTTAAAAGCAGCCTTAAAAGTAAGTTCCAGGATCTTCAGCAACTGGTTTCCATTGTTCTTCTGTGTCGGCTCGGAGCGGCCACGATGCTAAATAAATATCCCTGACAGGATCAGCTGATCGCAGCAGTTGCAGGTTTGCTGCTTCAGAATTCACGCAGCAACGTTTTCTTCGAATCAAATTCAAAAACACTTTCTTTTTGGTTTCATCCAATTTTCTCCAATATTTCAGAAACACACAAAGGAAAAAGGGGGTGAGTGGAAACTACGGCCGCGAGCAGATGGGAGACAACATTTTGTCCACCAGAAATGTTGATGCCTGATTACACGCACACACACACGCACACACATGCAAAACCCACAATTCCTCACCGCCCGACTCTGTTCTGTGTATGTTTATTTGTGTGTGTGTGTGTGTGCATATCAGTCACAAGGCATCTATTACTAGGCCCTTGAAAACTGATACAGCCAGCAAACCCCCCGCTGTGTGTGTGTGTGTGTGTGTGTGTGTGTGTGTGTGTGTGTGTGTGTGTGTGTGTGTGCGTCTGTGTGTGTGCGTCTGTGGGCCGAAAGTGAGAGCTGCAATTGACAAGGCTGCAATTAGACCCGGTGTCCAGCCCTCCTCCCCGCCGCCGCGCTATTACTGGACCGCCGTCGACTGAAATAGACGCGCGCCTTTATTTTAGACGCGCTACGGTCATCTGCCGCCAGCGTGTGCGTGTGTGTGCGCGTGTGTGTGTGTCTCTGCCACGCGCTGCCTGAAATTCTTCAGCGTGCCATGCCAGAGATTTCACAAAAACACGGGGGGGGGGGGGGAGGAGGAATTCTGCCGGACGGCTTGCGAGACGCTTAAACGTTAAGACGTTGAAAGGCGAACCGGCTCCTCTCTTCCAGTGTTAAGGAACGACAGCGTGGCCACAGCTGCCCTGGTGTTTGTGTTTGTTGTTGTGGTCGTCCGTTTGGTGTTGTATTGATGTCTAGTAGCGGCCGGGGGGCTTCAGAGGACTCGTCGCTGTATGCAGACGACGTGGTCCTGTGTGCCAACTAGGGGTGGGGGAGAAAAATCGATTTTTTGGATTTGATAACGTTTCGGTCTCGATTCAGAAAAGTTAATAATCGGAATTTAAAAAAAAACAACAACTCCGAGATAGCGAGATATTTGCTCGCTCGCGGAGCCGTGAGCTTCCTCGCTCGCGAGGATGAGTCCTCTGCTCGCGCTCGAAGGAGTTTTCTACGCGCTCGCTGTTGTTCTTTCTGACAGTAAGGGGGCGGAGCCAGTCACCATGGTCTCTACACCTGATTGGTTACAAACCCCGTCTTTGGTTTGGCTGGAGTGATGCGTTCACACAACTACAGAAGCATAAAAAGTCGAAATTATGAGATAAAACGTTGTCAAAAGAACGTAGTGGAGCGTAGATGACAACCAGCTACAACCATCATTTACCATCATTACCGGGACATTAAGAGCAACGCGTCCAGCTCGCAGACCGGTCCGTCAGTCTGAATCTGAATATCTAATAACTTTACTGAACTATGGAGGAGCCTGCGCACATCTTACCTCATTATTTCCATTTTCCAAAAAGTTCATCCGTATTGAAAGTTGGCGAGATATTCACAGATTTTGACTTTGTTCCAGTATTTTACAAATACGGACGGTCTGAGACTAGGAGCAGCTTTTTCTTCATTTAAAAGAAAAATGAATCTGTTTAATATTTTTTTTACATGGGCTACTTCCATATTGTGTTGAAATGCAAGTTGCGTTGGTTCTTTCATTGTTGATAGAAAATCATATTTGTGACATATTGTGACATTTTTTTTCTCTCATAAAAAATTTGAGAAGGTAATTCATCTGTTGACTTTCTTTATTATCAAATGAAGTAGGAAGTGATTCGCAGCCTCTGAGTAGCAAACTCAGATTTGAGAAAATTTATAAAATCGAGATGCATCGATAATCGTTTTATCAGTTTAGAATCGATAATCGGTTTAGAATGGAATAGTTGACCTCTGAATTGGAATCGAATGGAATCGTGAGGTGCCAACAGATCAATACTTGAGTCCAGGTATTGGAATCTTCGGTAATGCTACATAAACAACGTTCTTTGTCGAGACACACACACAAACACACACACACACACACACACACACACGAGGCGTGTGCTTCAAAGGAGGCCCAGCGCAGCTCAGAGACGTGTTCGCCAGCCATCAGATGGCTTCATCAGCAGGTATGAACTCTGCTCTCTGGCTGTGAAACGGGCAGAATGGCGTTCGCAGCTATTCGTCGACTGAATGCCCATTTAAATATCCATTGAGGGGATGGGGGCCGGCGGACACGGGAGAGAAAATCAAAATAAACCATTCACTGGCGATGGGCCTCTGATCCGAGGGAGGTTCCTGACCCCTCCACAAAAAACCCATTCATTTATCACTGACGCAATTAGACATGGCCGTCCCGGTGAAAAGACGCCAGAGACGCCCTTTCTCTGCCTTCGCTCGCCTCTTTCTCTGCGCTGGCAGTTTTTCAGGAAGAATTATGCACTGGGAGTGTGATTTTTTTATTTCTTTCGGGGTCGTTCTCCCCCCACAGTCTTTTGCCCATTTTGGGTGTGAGAAGGTCTCATTTCTTGTTGGACACGGGGCCAAAAAGAAGACAAAAACGGGACAAGGAAAATTAGAAGAGAAAAGTAACAAAGGCCCCATCGGACACGCAGGGAGAAGTCAGGGCCGTCGCGGGACAGTTCACATACGCTGTCCTCTGATGGACATGATGAAACACGGGGGATGAATGGAGTCCCGCAGGACGCTGGACAGGGTTTCATCACAGGAAACCCCTGGAGGCCTCGCAGAGGACTCGACATCTCGGACTGCTCACTGTGCGTCCGTATGCTAAGCTCAGCTCGTTCTCCATTATCTCCAGTACCTCCATTATCTCCATTATCTCCAGTATCTCTATTATCTCCAGTATCTCCATTATGTCCAGTATCTCCAGTATCTCCAGTACGTCCATTATCTACAGTATCTTCATTATCTCCAGTATCTCCAGTACCTCCATTATCTCCATTATGTCCAGTATCTCCATTATCTCCAGTATCTCCATTATCTCCAGTACGTCCATTATCTCCAGTACGTCCATTATCTACAGTATCTTCATTATCTCCAGTACCTCCAGTACCTCCAGTACCTCCATTATCTCCAGTATCTCCAGTACGTCCATTATCTACAGTATCTCCATTATCTCCAGTATCTCCAGTACGTCCATTATCTACAGTATCTCCATTATCTCCAGTACCTCCAGTACCTCAATTATCTCCATTATCTCCAGTACCTCCATTATCTCCAGTATCTCCATTATCTACAGGATCTCCATTATCTACAGGATCTCCATTATCTACAGGATCTCCAGTATCTACAGGATCTCCAGTATCTCCAGTACCTCCATCCTCAGCTGACTTCAGCAGTGATAAGGCACAACAAGCAGCTTCTGAGAGGCTCACTGTTGCAGGATTGCATTTCTTTATCCTCAACTACGCTTTGGATTTGTTGAGTCATATAATAAAATAAAATCACCTTTTCATTGAATTGAAAGAGAAAAAGAATTCAAACTTTTGACTGGTTCCTAAATATTTCATTGTGTCTGATATATTCAAAGTGTAATCTAACCTATTCTTCACTGTGTGCCGTGTTAGTGTGGATATCTAATGTGTGAACGACCTAATGGCAAACCAGCCAACCATCTGAATGTCCACCCGTTGGTCCATCCATGCGTCCGTCCTTCATACATTAGCTATCCGTCTCTCCATCCGAATACTTACAATTGTTGCACATTCATTTCCAGTCAAGTATTAGATTCATTGCCAGTATTCCAGCAATAAACATTTGTGGAATGTTTTGTATGCGTTATGAAAAAAGGTCTCGTGACTTCAGCGTTTGTGTTCCATCTAGCTGCTGGAAATGTGCTCTCTCAAAATATTGAAATATCATCAACGGGGCCAATGGAAACCCTTCAGTTGACGAAAAAAGGAACCGAACTTGTGGCGTATCAGTAACCGAAACACCGGTGGTGAGAACACACACGTTGGCGGCGCACAGTGCTGCTATCCGGTTCCTACACAAGCAGACAGAGAGAGTGCGGGTGTTTAATAACGGAGGAATGTCTCAGGAATGTGCAACCGGAGCGTGACCGAGGTGTGACGCGCGACGCGCTCGGGACACCCAGGAACAACCAGGACGGCAGCCGACCAGGACGGCCCCCCGACCAGGACGGCAGCCGACCAGGACGGCCCCCCTGACCAGGACGGCAGCCGACCAGGACGGCCCCCGCCGGTTCCACTGAAACTCAATCTAACATTTAAATGCTGATGATTCCAAGGCGTCCCTGCCCTGCATCCCAGCTCAGAATGCGAGTTGCAGTCGGTCACTCCAGGATAAATCATGGTGGTGTTCGGGAGATGAGACATGCAGCTACTGTCACTGTGGAGACCAGCGAGGGACATTTTCAAAATAAAATACAATGGCAAAAAGAAGTTTTGGTTTAAGACAATAAGTAAGAATAAGGAGACAAAGCGACTTTGATTCAGAAAGCGATTCAAGGCAACGAACAACCACAACAAGCTGCAACTTGGAAGGAATTGCAATAATGCAACATGTTATGGGTCGGCGTTTGAGTCCCGGCGTCCCCGTGTCGAAGTGTCCCCGAGCAAGACAATTGACCCCTAATTGCTCCCCGGACAAAAATGTAAAAGCCATGTGATAATAATGCAATGCAGGTCAGCTAAATGACCTGTAATAATAATAATGATAATTATATAAGCTAATGTCATATATCCAACAGCTACAAATAGAACTATATCATAAGCAGCGCTGGTTTAAATTATTATATCCACCCAGCAGCTCCAGTCAGACCATTGAACAGACAACTTAGTCTGTTTGTGGCTGTCAGGGAGTGTGTGTGTGTGTGTGTGTGTGTGTGTCCGCTCGATTACTGCCGCTGTCAGTGTTTTAAAGAGACGCCTCAAATCGTCTTTCACGGCCGTTCGCAGAGGACAAAGCAGCCGGGCCAGTCGCAGGCCGGCGTCCACCGGCACGTCTCCAGCTGATCCCATCAGCTACGCGCCGCTCGCCAGCCACACAAGCACACTGGTGGCAGGTTTCAGATGGTCCTGGACTTTAAGTTCCACGGCCTGTGCTTCGTCCTCATGAATCTGCTTCATGTTTGGTCTCCTATCTGGGCCTCAGCTGCTCTGGGTGAAGGTCTTCGCCTGCCGCTGACGCGCAGGCTGATTGGATCTGTGTGTGGTCTCTCACAATGTTTTCTTGTTACTGAAAAATAAGCAGAGCTTCAAGCTGCTTCTTCTTGGTATTATTGCTGAAGGACATTTGATTCTTTGAATGTTCCTTTAAGCTCTTGAATGTTTTTCTGCTGGTAGGAGATTTGGCGGCTTGTCAGTACGTTGAGCGTTTGTATGCATTTCCATCTTGACGCTCTCACTGTTGGTGACTCACGGCCTCTTTGCCTTAGTTGGTCTTTCATTATTTGTTGGACCACTGTTTGGTATTTGCAATGCCGGACTGTTGTTACGTCGGAGCGTCATATCGCTGCTGTCTTTAAAGGAAAGTCCTGCTTTCCAAATATTATGAACGGAAAAATGTAATAATGTGCTAATAATGAAAACGTATTGATTGATTGGTGCCATTAGTGCATTTTTGTGGATGTGCATTTAACTCTTAAAAAGAGCAGAGTACAAAATTACCCTTTGAAACAGGGTTGATTCAATAAAAAATCCCATTGAATGGAAGCACAGGGGTCGTCGTGGCGCAGGGGTTAGAGAAGGTGTGCTGGGAAGCACAAGGTTGTTGGTTTGATTCCAGGCTGCCCCATGTTCCATGTTGAAGTGTCCTGTTGAAGACACCTAACCCCTAATTGCTCCCCTGGCAAAAATGTGAAAAAGGCCATGGGTTTAAAGTGTAATGTAAGTCGCTTTGGATAAAAGCGTCTGCTAAATGACCTGTAATGTAATGATTGAACAAGTGCCGCAAAACGACGACAACAACAACAAGTAGATGTCACTGTTACACAAACAAGACACAAGACGAGCAGTTGTGTCAAGGTGCCTTAAGCAGGGGGAATCCCAGCATACACACACCTACTCACTCATACTCACACACACCTACTCGCACTCATACTCACGCACTCATACTCACGCACACATACTCACTCACGCACACATTCTCACTCACTCACGCACACATTCTCTCACACTCTCTCACGCACACATACTCTCTCGCACATACTCACTCGCACATACTCATACACTCACTCGTACATACTCACACATACTACCTCACTCGCACATACATACTCACACATACTACCTCACTCGCACATACATACTCACTCACACATACTACCTCACTCGCACATACATACTCACACATACTACCTCACTCGCACATACATACTCGCACATACATACTCACTCGCACATACATACTACCTCACTCGCACATACTACCTCACTCACACATACTACCTCTCTCACTCACTCACACATACTACCTCACTCACTCACTCACACATACTACCTCACTCTCACTCACACACACACACAGGACGTTACCATATGGCTCAGCAGGGTGACTGAATGGTTACACACAGGCAATCTGCATAATCACAACAAAGCAGCCGTTTTTGTGCGTGTGTGTGTGTTTGGCAAAAGCAACACATCAGTCAAAGAGGCCAACGCATTCACGCACCCACACACTCCTCTTTGAGGGTTGGCGGGGGGGTGCGGGAGCTTCAGAGGGTTGGGTTTTTCCACAGAGGAGGGGGAGGGGTGGGAGGTTCCAGAGGGGAGTCAGATTTCTTTAAAAAGACATGAAAACAAAGATGGAGAGAGAGAGAGAGAGGGAGGGCGAGCGGGCGGGCGGGCGAGCATTCCTCCGCTTCTTGGACAAAGTCTTGGCTCAGTCCTTCATCGTTCTCTCTCTTCTTTCTTTCAGACGGCTGCTTCGCCATTTTAAACAGTAACACCACGTGAGTCAGGTGACGCCGCAAGACCAAGAAAACAACAACAAACGGATTGTCTTTGTCCCTCAATCAACTCATCAATAATCAATAAAACAGAAAGCAAAGCAGGGAGTGGACAGTCGCTTAAACATCTTTGGGAGCCGTCGGGGGTCCGTGGGTCATTATTCACCTCTCAGCGTGTCATTTGACGGCTTGAAGGTGCAGTGGAAAAGACTACACACAGATAGAGGGATGGTAATGTCTTCACACCCGGCAATTCCCTTTCAAAGGGACGAAAACCAGTCTGCACCAGGGAGGGGGGGAGGGTGGGTGGGGGGGCTTTGAGGTGGGTCCTTTCACCCTGACACGGGGGAGGGGGGTCTTTTCAATTGGTGAGCATTCAGCCAGAAAGCTCACGCATTGACTGTTTTGCACCAGCGTTCCTCCTCTCCGCCGCCGTGAAAATATGTGAAACTTGCTCCACTCTGCGGGCGCCACGGCAACCGCCCGGCGGCGGCGGCGACAACAACAACGGCGCACGGGCGCTAATCAGAGACGCACATCGCGCAGGCAGACGGCCGAGCAGATGGAAAGGGAACGGCGATCGGGACGCTCGCTCGGAGGAAGAAGACGAGCAGAGAGAGGGACAGCCGGTTACCGCAGCGTCCAAAGCCAGGGACGGGTTTGCGGAGGAAAGAACGGAGGACACCTGCTCAAAAGGAGCCGGAGAGGTCAGGAAGAGGGGGGCAGGGCCGCCAGAAGCCCCCCCCAACCCCCCCACACACATTTCCTCCTCCTCCTCCTCCTCCGGGGCTGCCGATGGTGTAAAGTCTCGGGTGACCATGTTCCCCTCCGTCCAAAACCAAGACACTCTGGTCCATAAACTACCCATTTGAATGTTAATGGCACAGGCCAAACGAGGAACCAGCCCGGCTAGACCGGCCTGACGGGCGGGATCACAACGGGCCAGCACAATGCTTACACAATGCTGCACAAGGGTTTCCAGCTATTGCGTAACTCCACATTCCACTGGGTCACCAGTAAATATCACATGCTCGCACACACATCCAAATTCTCCCCGGGCCCCGTCTGATTTCTACCGGCTGTCACTCCCCCCCCTCCTCCCACTCCCCTCCCCCTGGTCTATCAAGGAGCCGCTGCACACGGCCCGGCGGACGTACCTCGATTTTGTCGGTCTTGGCGTCCCCCCAGTAGAGCTTTCCGGCGGCGTAGTCGATGGCCAGCCCGTTGGGCCAGCCCAAGGAGCTGTTGATCAGAACCAGCCGCTCCGTTCCGTCCAGGTGGGCCCGCTCGATCTTGGGGTGCCTGCCCCAGTCGGTCCAGTACATGTAGCTGAAAGAGTGGATGAGACCAGATGGAACTTACGTCCAGACATCCAATCGTACATCTTAAACCTCTGCAGAGCAGTTCGGATGTTTCAGTTGATGTAGTTCAGTTGGGGTTCTCATGATTCTCATGCATGAGAGAAATGCTGGGGATCGTGCACACATGCTGTGCACGCCCAACGGAGGTCCAAACTAAAGTCTCGTCCAAATGTATTCCTTAGCATTTGGTTGGTGAGAATTTGCACAATGATTTGCCCCCTTTGACATCACGAACACGTGCACACACGCGCTAAGGCCTACCCATTGACGGGGTCCAGGACGATGGCTCTGGGTTCGTCCAGGTTATCAGATATCAAAATCTTCCGAGAGGTTCCGTTCAGCCTGGTGACCTGGAAAACCGCGTAATTCAATATTAAAATACAACATATTTGCAGCTCGATATTGTGATAACCATCAAACCTGTCACTTCAGATCCGCTCGAGTGTCGTTATTTCCCCAATTATGTAATAGGGTCCAAAGATTTATCTGAATTTGATCAAACTGCGCTTTTCAATCTATTTGGGGAAATTTCAACACTTTCTGCCAGACATTTGAACTTGTTTTACGACTAATAAAGGAAATCTTGTCGCAACTCCACATAATCAGTTCAGTTTTAAACTGCACAGCATGAATCAGTAAGTATTAAAGTATTAAAGTAGACTAAGACACGTGTGGTAGCAGCGGTTAGTAGAAGAACCCGTGATGTAAAGATCCACCTCAATCCGGTCAGTGCCGGTGTCGGTCCAATACAGGTTTCTGGCCACCCAGTCCACCGCTATGCCATCCGGGTGGTTGATCTCCGTGGTAACCAGCATCACGGCATCGCTGCCGTCGATGTGCGACCGCCGGATGGCCCGAACCTCATCGTCCGTCCAATAGACGTAACCCTCCACCGGGTCGTAGTCTATGGCTATGGCATGGCGAATGTCATCAACCTGCATGAGCAGAGCGACAATGGAGCGCAGCACCAGGAGACAGGACCGTTACCTGTGTGTGTGTGTGTGTGTGTGTGTGTGTGTGTGTTTACCTGCAGGACTATGTCGGTGAAGTCTGGCAGGTCCAATGAGATTCTCCTCAGGTCAGTCCGCCGAGCCAGCAGCAAAACCTGCTCCGCTCCTACAAAAACACATACCTTTTGTTAATAAATGCTAAAAACTGCAAAGAACTAAAGCCCAAAACCATGTGGACCACAACCATCTGACTCGTTAATGTACAAAACACACAAAACCATGATTACGCTCTCCTCAAAGGCCCCGAGCTCCGGTCCGACCACGGTAACTTCATCAAACACCTTCTTGTTCCGCTGGTCCAACAATCGCCCGCCCTGGTCTGTTCAAATGAACCCTTAATAGTAACGATAAGCTACCAGACAGTCTGTATCGCGTATACTTCGTGCAGTGCAAAGGATGGATTCCCGAACACGGGGCACGGCTTGTATGTCCATAGAGTCGAAAGATAACGGTCTGCAGACGCAGAGATATCCCGACTTTTAGTTCCTTTCATCAGCCCAAATGACGGCGATGACATTACTTGGCAAATCCCGGCCTGTAAAATGTTCTCATTGTGTCGCTGTCAACAGCCAACAGCTGAAATGACCTTCGGTGGAACATTAAAAATGCACTTGTGTGCATTCGATGTACTGGAACCACCACACACACTACAGCCCACGCATGCAGAAGTCAACAGCTCCATGACGCCACCTCAGCGAAGGTGGTCTTGTGCAATTGCCTCTCAGGGGCAGGGAGCGATGGATAATCCTGTGCAAAACCTCAACAGCTCCCCAGACATAACAGGGTGTTGGATCAGAGTGGTCTAGGTGGGGGCCGGTCAGCAGCAGGATTCCCGGGAAGATGGACCGCTCAGACCCAACAGGACCATGCCGCGTGCTCTAAATGGTCCGACGCAAATAGGTAAGAGGCATGAACGTTTGACGAAAAGCCAACCAACGCACATTGTGTCTACGGGGGGGTTGTTACCGGGTGACCGGTGAAACCCCCACTAACGCCCGTGCACCCTCAGTAGCACTGGAGGTCATCGCAAGCCCAAAACACACCCACGGTGAAGCTACCAGCTGCCGTGCATTGCTGCTGTTCATACACAGAGAAGATCAGGGAGATGCTTCCCTTAAGTGTCCATATTCTAAAATACTCCTCCACCTCCAACTACGTTATAGCCAGTGGGCCATTTAGTCCGGCGTCCCGCCGTGAGCCTGGAGGGTGATTGTTGGGGGCACATGGAAGACTCCTCTGCAGTTCAGTCAGTGCGTTGTGAACCTGACGAACAGCAGACGTTTTTTCCTCCCGTCAAGTTGTTCCTTCTTCCAAAGCTCGTGCCATTAAAGTGTAGATGTCGAGGCCGCATCCCGGCAGACCCAAGTCTGAGTATGTGGTCTCTGGACTCGGGCCCAAACACAATCGCGTTTCCAAACAAAACAAAGGTCTATTTCACGAGGACTTTCCTCTCGTATCTCCTTCTATATTTATGGTAAATGTAGGATAATTGGGCGTTTTGGGGCCTAAAACAACGTGAGAGGTTCAGTGGAAAAGTCCTCTGTAAGCCCTCCCACTTAGTGATCTACCAATCAAACGCAACCGATCAGATGTAGACCCCCCCCCCCCCCCCGTCACCGTACGATGCCGAGCCGCTGGCAATGCGAACTACGGCGGCGGTGTTCACGTGAGGGGGAAACCGCTGGGCGGGCAGCTTTTATCTTTGCACAGCCGATGGCTGCTGGCATGTTTGTGCAGCACCTTTAAGTACTGCAGCGGAGTAACTGAGCTACTTTCCATCCACACCTAAAGCCCAGAGAACGTTGGATTACAGTCCGGGAGCGGTACGGCCTAATAATACCAATAATCACGGCCTACAGACCACCGAAGCCACAGACACCAGCCCGGAGGACACGAGCTCTCCTGCTCGCCGTCACTCCGCTCGGCAAGCGGAGGGGAGGAGTGAAAAGGGAAGGGAAGCGTCTGTGACTCCGGTCTTCTCCGCGCTCCACTTCATTCTGAGACACGACCTCTGACACACACACACACACACACACACACACACACACACTCTGCTGCCAGCATAATAACAAACGGCTTCAATTTAACCAGCCAAGCAAAACAAATTAGAAGCACGGACACACACACACACACACGGACTACAGGCTGACACAATAGAGCATTGTATTTTTTTGTTGTCAGCAGTGGCTAAGCGATTGGTTGGCGTGCCTCGTTCAAACTGAACGTGTTCACAGACGCGCTCGGACACGGCGGTGCAGAAGAAGGCTCTACTGTTTCGCCACCGTGGGAATTAAGATGGCGGCCCGTCAGGTGTCCCGCCACGTTACGCGGACCGCGGCGACATGCGGGGTGCACGCATCCTGCACGCACATGGAATTTCCACTTGTTCACTTAATGTTTTTCACTTCGTGTTGACAACATTGGGTCGTCCATTATCGAAAGGGTCGTTCGGTGAAGGCAGTCAGAGGGCGCCGGCGCCTCGTACCCGGACCTCTTCCCTGACCCACAGAGTGCTCGGCCTCCTCCCCGAGGTCATACCTGGTTTGCATGTCCTCCCGTCTGGTTTCAGCTGGACTCCGGTGGGACAGGCGCAGCTGTAGAAGGGCTGGACCGGGGACAGCAGGCACAGGTGACTGCAGCCTCCGTTGTTGTCGCTGCAGGGAGTCTGGACTGCGAGCACGTCGGCCCAGGACAGACGGGGGGGGGACAGGAGAGGGGAGCAGATGTGATCAGGCTCGTGCGCGCATTGACGAGCGGCGCGTTGAGCACTAACGCGGCGCCGGACTCACTGTAAGGCTGCCGATAGGACTCCAGGACCTGGATGTCCATGGGGGAGTAAATGCCGCTGAGGATCTCCCGGGTTTTGTCTCCGCTGTGTTTGTTGCAGGCGTGGATGGAGCGAGTCTGCCAGTCGGTCCAGTACAAGGTCTCCTCAGACAGCGTGAGCGCAAAGGGATGCGTCAGGGTTCCCTCCACCACCGTCTCACTGCGGGACACAGTCGCCAACGTTTGGCTATGATTCACATCGTGGACGTTTTCATAGACACAACCATTAATTCTTTCGTTATGCATTTATGGTGCGATATGTGGAAATGCAAACGGTAGATGCAGGGTTTCCCTCCCTTATTGGACGTGTGCAATGGAAGGACATCGCACAGATTGCCGGGCCTTTTAAAATAAGGCTGCATGGGAGTTGACTCCATTTTGCATCCAGCCTCAATGAGCTATTTGAGGACTGAAGAGCTGAAGACCCCCGACTCCCCCCCGAGACCGCAATGTTCATTAACCAACACAAACACTAGACGTGTCAGCAGCGTGTTCGCTTTGCCAGGTTATTTCGGCATGAGGATGGAAATAAAGAGACATTTTTAAGAATGATTGAAATGTAAAGGTGTTAAATAACCTGGTTATTAGATTCATTTTGTGAAGGGCCTCGTGTTGGCCAGTCACCAAGTATGTACATTCCACAGCAATACACATATTGAGCTCCCTCAAAGACGCCGAGGAGTGTGCGTTAGATTGGATCAGTGTGGTTCTGTTCTAAAGACACACTTTGGAAATCACTGGCAGGAAAATGCACTCGCTTATACGCACTTAAGCGCCGGATCAAAGGAGCCTTTTATTTAGAATATCAACACACCAGAAACTTGTTTCCATCAATCATCATTCTTATGTCCTGTGTGTGTGTGTGTGTGTGTGTCTGCACGCAGTAGTTAAAGGGCGGACAGAGAAAGAAGCTCCAGATTTCAGCGTGTCTCTCAGCTGTACGGCTGGCTAGTTAGCCAGTTAGCTCGTTAGCTAGCTTGTGTGTGTGTGTGTATGGTTGTGTGTGTGTGTGTGTGTGTGGTTGTGTGTGTATGGTTGTGTGTGTGTGTGTGTGTGTGTATGGTTGTGTGTGTGGTTGTGTGTTACTGGGCCTCTGTACCAGCTCTGTGTTTGTGTTGTGTGTGGTTGTGTGTGTGTGTGTGTGTGCGTGGTTGTGTGTGTATGGTTGTGTGTGTGTGTGTGTGTGTGTGTATGGTTGTGTGTGTGTGTGTGTATGGTTGTGTGTGTGGTTGTGTGTTACTGGGCCTCTGTACCAGCTCTGTGTTTGTGTTGTGTGTGTGTGTGTGTGGTTGTGTGTGTGGTTGTGTATGGTTGTGTGTGTGTGTGGTTGTGTGTGTGTGGTTGTGTGTGTGTGTGTGGTTGTGTGTGTGTGTCTGTGTGTGGTTGTGTATGGTTGTGTGTGTGTGTGTGTGTTCCAGCTCTGTTTGTGTTGGGTGTGTGTGCGTGGTTGTGTGCGTGTGGTTGTGTGTGTGTGTGGTTGTGTATGGTTGTGTGTGTGTGTGTGTGTGCGTGGTTGTGTGTGTGTGTGGTTGTGTGTGTATGGTTGTGTGTGTGTGTGTGTGTGTATGGTTGTGTGTGTGTGTGTGTGCGTGTGGTTGTGTGTGTGTGTGTGTGTGTATGGTTGTGTGTGTGTGTGTGTGCGTGTGGTTGTGTGTGTGCGTGTGGTTGTGTGTGTGTGTGTGTATGGTTGTGTGTGTGTGTGTGTGTGTGTGTGTGCGTGGTTGTGTGTGTGTGGTTGTGTGTGTGTGTGTGTGTGGTTGTGTGTGTGTGTGTGTGTGGTTGTGTGTGTGTGTGTGTGGTTGTGTGTGTGTGTGTGTGTGGTTGTGTGTGTGTGTGTCTGTGTTGCTCTCTCGTACTCTGTGTTTTCTCTCTGGTAGGAAAGAGGAGACGAGGCTGAAGCTCAAAGCAGATTCCTGCGGATTGTTTAACGTTTAAGGGAGACTGGAATTCATATTTCCACCTTAATCCAACACACAATGTTTTCATAATCCTTCCATCGGGGAGCGACTCCTCCGGCAGTAAACACGCGTCTGAATATGTAGAAGTATAAGAGAAGGAATGTCTTCATTTATTCAACACGAGCTTGATGAATCTCTGGATTCAGTAACGGACGTTCTATCTAAAGTCGTCGCGTTGTTGATGATGAGCGACCGCCAAGTCTGAATTCATCTTGGAGGAGATGTTTTCTCTGCATGTTCTCAAAGATTCTTTCCACAGCACACAGCTTTGTAGCAACATGCCATGAAGGGGGACCGGGGGGGGGTCAGACTGTCCTCTAGAGGACTTCATGGTCTGTTGACCTGTACGTCTTTCACTTTGCTCTTTTTTCTTCTTTTTTCTTTAGAAAAATGTTTTATTTTGAAAAATGACCAGATTCTCTTCCCACTACTTGTTGCTGGTGACACATTTCCCAGGCGGCGTGTCTACGGGGACACATTCCTGTGTGAATTCACACTGAAGCAGCCGTACCGTGCCGATCCGTCCAGGTTGGCCCTGTGGATGAAGCTGAGCTTGGCGTCTGCCCAGTACAACTTCTGCTCCAGCAGGTCTATGGTCAGACCGTTGGGCCAGTAGATGTCCACCACCACTATGACCTTCCTGTTTGGGAGACAGAAAGAGCGCCGCGCGCTTTGTAACCCGGCGTGTACTCGTGTGGGGGGGGGAGGGGGGTCAGGCGTCAGTTCTACGGTACCTGTTGCTGCCGTCCATCCCGGCGCGCTCGATCCTGGGCTCTTCTCCCCAGTCGGTCCAGTACATGTAGCTGGAGGGAAGACACACGTCAATCCCATCCAAAGTGTAGTGAACGTGGAGCACATCCTCTGATTAACTGCTGAATTTAGTTTTTTTTTAATCCTACAATGTGATTTGTCTTGGATTCCGTCACTCACAGTTGTACCCATGAAACAAGTGACAGACTCTCCGTGGGAACTTATAACTCATTATAAGAATCTGATTACTTGAGTACTGATCTCTTCCCTCAGAGGGGGGGCGACGAGAACAGAGCTCACAGAGAATTCTAAAATGTTCATCCCCCGAGTGCAGGGTGACCGTTGTGCCAAATATTAAGAAAAACAGCTCAAGACGCTGCTGAGAGGTCACGTTCTCCTCAACGGACGGGACGGACCGCCAGAGCCTTTTAACCAACCCGGGACCACGGCTCACGTCACAGGAAAGCAGAGGCCTCGAACAACGACGATCAGAGCCGTGATCCCATTGAACTGGTGACGTCACCGGTGATGCAATAGCACAGCCAGGGCCCAGTGGTTGCACATCTGGCCTCACGAGTCGCCGCTCGAACTTTGTCTTCTGCCTAAAGCTAACGTGAGGGATCACCCCCGAGCGGGCTTTAAGGGAACCGCTGAGGCCGCGGAGCGCTGACGGCACCTCTGAGCGGGGTTGAGGGCGATGGCCCTCGGCTGGTCCAGGTCCATCCAGAACAGGACCTTCCTGGAGGTGCCGTCCAGGTTGGCCACCTCGATCCGATTGGTCTCCGAGTCCGTCCAGTAGAGCTTCCTGCCGAGCCAGTCGCAGGCAAGCCCGTCGGGACTGTCCAGCCCCGACACCACCACGGACTGCCTGGTCCCCAGCGCCTCCTTCAGGGCTGCAAGGGGGGCACAGAAACGTGAGCGGTGAGAGAAACGGTGAGAGAAACGTCACCGGCCGCCGCCGCGAACGGGACGCCGCCTTACAGTTGGACGACTGGTTCCAGCGCGTCTGCTTGATGGCCTCCTCGCTGACGTCGGTCCAAAATATCAGGCCCTCGGAGTACAGGAAGTCCACCGCCGCCGCGTCCTCCAGGTCGCTGACAACGACGGCCGACTCGGCGCGCGCGCCCTCGGCGTCCACCAGGCGCACGTCGCGGCGGTTGGCGAACAGCAGGAGAGGTGAGCCTGGGACAGAGAGCAGTTCAAACGTTACGAGACGGCAACACATTCATATCACCGGTTTCCCGGTAAGTCACGGTGTTTCCCCCCCCCCCGACTACACATTTATTCAATGACGCCGAAAAGGGCCGGCGGCCAACCGGGCAGTTGTTGCTCGTCGTCCAGCGGTGAACAGCTGTTTGTGTGGCGTCATCCTGCTGTCTCTTCCTGTTTATTTACTCCCAGCCCCCCCTGGGTCCTAAGTCCCTCCACGTACCGATTCCACCGGTACGCCGGTCTCAGATTGCCTTACGGCACAAGTTTCACACGTACTGTCAGACTGGCGCATCCACGTAACAGCTGCTGTTGCTCTTCGGGGGGCAGAAGAATTTATTTTTACACCTCACCTCGCTAATTGTCTCGAGTCATGGTTATAAGATTAATTAATTAAGCAATTAATAACCGACAACGAACGCTCTTTAACAACACATAAGACAGCTTGTGACACATCAACAATTTGTACATTTAAAAAAAAAACGCATGCCGGGTCACAACAAGAAGGAACTCGTTGCCACATGAAAACAGGGGAAACACTGATGCAAAAAAAATCCAGCGTAAGTTTGACCAGAAAACGATTTATTGCAAAGTTGGTGGCAACACAAGCAGCCACAACAGCTAACACGCTAACGAGCTAACGAGCTCCGATCGCTGCGCGCGCAGCGGTGATATGTTTTGCTGCTGCGGCTCTGCATGACTTTATATAAAAAGTACAAACCGCATGTTATTGGTGTTCATTTCTGCAGAAGTACAGGGAGGTTCTGGACTCTCAAGGGTTACCTGATCATAGTACTCAATGAGGAATTAGATGATGGACGGTTGTGTCCTCAAGCCATCATCCTTATCATTTGTATGCTCGAGTGTTTCAATACGTTTGGAAGTGACAGGCAGCTCAAAAGTGGCTTTGCTCAGGGGTCGAGTTCACAGACGCAAACAAACATGGCTGACAACATTTGCAGGGTGGAAACATGCAAAATAGATCACTTGTGATCCACCAGATGAGGTGACACTGAAGCATAAACTTTATTTCTAAAAAGAAGTGTTCTCAATAGATAAACATGAAGATTAAGGATGACGATAGTAGTTGTTAATTTGATCGTTTCATTGATATTTGGAGTTTTGACATTCAGAAATCAATAGTTGGGTCCTTACGAACCAGCTATGCCGATTGTGTGAATGTGCAGCTAGCAGTGCTAACAACAACGTGCTAACAGCTGACGGAGGTATCTCTTGTATCTCAGCAACGCAGTCGGGTGGAGCGGGCGAGCGTGCACTGAATGTCACATGGCTTCGCCAACCAATCAGGGAGCAGCGGGGTTAACGGCACTGTGAGTCCTGCGTACTTCACCCGCGAAGACCATTGGTACCCGTGCGTCACCGCGCCACAGCCGAGCTCGCGACGAGACGCCTGAACGCCGGCAAATGAAACAAAAGAACTGAGTGGGACAGGAAGTGTCCCCGCTGGGACAAAGCCCCGACCCTTCGCCGTCACTGCCGTCTGGCAACCGTCTGCAGCGGCCGTCCCAAAGAAAGACACAAACAAGTTTTACTTTCCTGCCCTTGGCAGTTCACATGGACGACATGTGTGTGTGTGTGTGTGTGTGTGTGTCGGTGACTCGGGGGCGATGACCTCCTCCTGCCGGAGGCCGTGGCTGTCACAGCAGCTGCCGCGGTGCCTCTGGGGGGGAAGCTTGCGGTTTTGGGTCCTGGCAGGACGGCAGCGCCGCTACGCTGCGGTTTGGCGGCCGCGTGCCAACAGTAATCCCACAGCATTAAGACGCGCCGCCCTCCGTCAGCGTGGGGCGCTGTCCCAAAAAACGGCAACCCCCGGGGTGGGGGGGGCGTCCCTCGCAGAGACACAACGCGAAGCCTCTCAGTCGCATGAGAAACACACACTGAGGAAGACGATGAACAACAAACCGCCACCTGGGAGTCTGGAGTAGAACTAATGAACCCATGGAAGGGGAAACACTGACGGGACCGAGCACAGGAAGTGACACACGTCTAAATAAACACGAGGCCCCGCCTGCCCCCCCCCTGGGGGGGAGGATCAGTGCTGCCTGACCCGCTTGGGGCTTCCTGCTGGACCCAAACGTCACCCTCACACGTGCACAAGCGCACACACACTCCGGCCTCTGGCTTGTTTACGCAGGGGAGCACTTTTTTGTTGCTGTGCACGGTTAATCCCAAAAACCAGATATGTGACACGGCCAAACGCGGCGAAGACCTGGACTCAGCATTCAGCGCGTGAGCCAAGCGCCACGTTGGTCAAAGACTCTGTTCCGTGTTTTAACGCATGTTAATGTATTGGAACACGTTCCAGGAGGAAAAAGATAATTGTCAGACTGTCCTTCATTCCAGCTCAGCTGGTCACATGATCGTTCCTCCAAAACGCTAATAACCTTGTTACAATGACATCACTGCACTCGTCATCGTGTGTGTGTGTGCGTGCGTGCGTGTAGATGGGTGTGACACAACACAAAGGAAGAGCAGAAAACTACATTTGAGTCTGTCAATGGGATTAGCCATTGAAGTGGGACGGGGGCCTCAGTGTGGGGGGGGGGGGGGGGGGGGGGGGGTCATACTGAGGTGGCAGTGTGAAAAGAACCAAAAGAACGAAAGGGTCCCAGAAGAAGTTTCTAAAGCGCAGGCAATGCACTGCTGCACACACACACACACACACACACGCACACACACACACTCAGCTCTCCCGCTTTGTTCTGCTTGCAAAAAGCCAGCAGGCTCCCTAACTTTACATCTTATCAGAGGCCATCTTAACAGAGCCCTCGGTGCACATGTGTGCGCGTGTGTGTGCGTGTGTGTGCGTGTGTGTGTAGGGTTGCGAGGAAGGAAGGGATTTTCTTCACACCTCCCCAGTTGGGACCAGAAAAATGTTTGCGCCGTGCACAGGGAGCGTGTTTGTGTAGCCTGACTGTGTGTGTGTGTGTGTGTGTGTGTGTGTGTGTGTGTGTGGACCCTGGAGAAATCAAGGTAGACGCCACACACTTCCTCTCTCCCTCCACCTCTGCTCCCTCGTCCCATTTCTCCCTCTCTTCTCCTTTCCTCCTTCTCTCTCCTTCTCTCTCTTTGTCTCTCCTTCTCTCTTTGGTTCTCTCTGTCTTTGTCTCGCTCTCTGTCTCTCGCGTCAAACCTCCAAATACTTTTAGGTTCTGGCCGATCGGACGCCTCCTAACGTGAATCCACAGAGCACTTCGGCCTATTAGTGGTTGAACGCTTGCAGATGTTGAGAGGATTGATTGTGTCATTGGTGACAGGGGCCGACAGATGTTGCCTGCTGTGCGGTTGGTGCAGACAAAGGCTGCACACACACACGTGGAAATCACCTCTGGATGGTCTCGGCGGGCGGCGGGGGGGGGAAAAAACACACGGGTTTGCAAAGAATGTGTGTTTTTTTTCGAGTGGCGCACCCAAACAGAGCAGCCCCCCCACCCCAAAAAAAAGAAAGCTTAATTTACTTGCTCACACGTCAGTGGAGCTGCTCCTGTTTGAACAACACAATCTGGACACAGATCTGTTGCTGGTCCTCACGCTTCCACACGCAGGCAGCAGCACCGACAACTTCAGTCCAAACCACAATAAAGCATCATAAACTGCAGGACTTCTTCATTGCTGTCGGACGCTTGACAAATAATATAAAAAGATTTAAGTGTGAAGCTGCAGCACGTTTGTGCTTTTCACCGCTGTACGAGCAGAGATCTCACGGGACCCCTTCCTCTGCCGGGTGACAAGTACGAACACGGCTTCAGCAGGTAGCGCCGTAATGAGGGCACCGCTTTACCGACTTTACTAAAAGATGCCCCCCCCCCCCCCCCCCCCCCCCCCCGGGAGTGCAGCCGGCGCTCCGCACCCCCAAACGGGCTGCGTGCAGGTCAGCGGGTCCCAGCCGACGCAGCGTCCCGCCTGGCGCCTGAGTACGCCTGAGAGATCCACGAGGCCCAACGCACGTGCTTTCGCCTCCGCACACGTTGACCCAGACGCACAGTAGGCTCACTGCATCGGCGCCGGCGCCTGAATAACACAGAAGACTTGGACACACCCCGGTTTGGAATTTCTCCTTTCGAACTAAAAGCCACAGGCAGCATTTCAGGCATTCAGGCCAAATACCAAATTCAAGTATTATGGATGTTGGGAGTAGTTCTGTCAAAAATATCATTCGGGGAAAAAAAAGGTTCTGCGCTCTGTTCATCATCTGTTCATTATTTGCCTTTGAGTAAAGTCCCACGCCAGTTATTCCCACCTGGGCGTCACTGAATGTTGATGTTTTTTTTCCACGCAATCAAAGTGTTCAGAACCACGTCCCAGCAGAGCCACGCCGCCGCGTTCTGGACTCCGGACGCACCAGAGGCCGAATTACCACTCAGGCGCTGCAGTAAAACCCCTTCGGACCCCCCTCACCGCGTGGGCACGACGTGGCGGAACACTCGCCGTCTGACAACAGGGACGGGGGGACACCCCGGCGTGACCGACACGGCGACACATGCTTCGGTCCTCGCGTGAAAGCAGCGCTTTAGACAAACGAGGACAGAGGAGAGCGCCCGCGTCACGCCGCTGGCAACAAGCACATTGATATTCACCACCTGCATGAGCCGCCTGTTGTTATGGCGATAGAAGGAGCGGGTCCCTTTCATCATATTGTGCTTACAATACATCTACCGCGCAGTCCCGGTTGGGACGGAGTCGTGTTGGTAGGAAGGGGTTGTGGTTCAATTTGTTGAGATTATGCAAGTAAAGCAATTTATTCTGTTAAATCTCATTTTAGTGAAACTGGGAACAGAAAGAGGTGGACGTTCATTTGCCTTCATCACAGTGCTAGAAGGTCCCAAGCGGAAGAGATACAAGTTTCTTTCGTTCTATAACATGAAATAATTCAGTGAATACACACTGATAAAGGCGGTTGCTAACGGGGGGTCAGATGCTACTGCAACACGTTGCCATGGTGACCAGCCCTTTTGCTTAGTGGGCCCTAACGGAGGGTTTTCCTTATAGTCTAGAGGTCAAAACGTGTGAGCATCATAAAGTGTTTCCAACATAATCCCGACTGAACTGCTCTCTGTGGTGGGAACCGGCGGGACGCCGTGGAGGTTCGACGGTCATCGGTGCCATTGGGCTTGAGTAGACACGACGACCTAACAAGACGCCTAAATGCCGCAGATGAAATGAAATGGCAAAGCCCGACCCGACGGTGTCACCCGTGTTGTTGTGATCGGGTTGTAAAAAGCTGCTTCTGCTTTAGTCAATCAGTTATGTTGCATTGAGCTTTGACCCTTGTGCAGGTAGAATGTTTACTGGCCTGGTTTGACTGGAGTAAACGTTTGTTTTACACTAATAAACCGTTACAGGTCTTAGGTACTACTGTTCTGTAATAAATGCATCTGTCAGTAAGAGGTGATACGAAATGATGTGATGGCAAACAGCCGTACAATTCAAAGAAGAATCTCAGTCTTAAAGGCCGCGTGAAATGAACAAGTGAATATGTGAATAAGAAGCTGGTAGTGGAGGACTCAGAAGACCAGACCACATAGATCGGCCCTGTGGAATAGTGAGGAGAGCACTAACAAAGACATAATATTCAGTTCTACTGTGGATTTCTTCCCCAGTAGCCGCTCACCCCAAACCCCAGAGATGTACGTTCCCTTTGTTCCTCACCGTGCCAAAGAGAAGCCACGAGAGAAAACACAGCCCGTCTTTAACAACGGACCTCCAAAGGGACGAATATTTCGTTTGGCTTTCTTTATTATCCCCAATTCCACTATTTATACGCTCCTAAATAAACCCCTTTTGAGAATTGCACCCAAACCACAGCGACGCTAAACGTCTGGTTTAAGGTTTGAGCTTCTGGACTCTAAAGGAGGGTTATCGTCCAGAAGCAGACTTTTAAAATGGAGCTGAAGGGAGGTCAACGGGACATTTTACTGCAAAAACAGTTCATTTCGGAGGGTGAATCGGGGTGGACCGGTGCATGTGCACCATTATGCCAAATAGTCCCCAAGCGGGGGGGGGGCTGACAGGTAAGTGAAGGGGGACATTTAGAGGAAATACTTGGGATTGCCTGGACTTCGGGGTCAGCATGCGTCCATTTTTTATTTTTTTTCTGGCCCGCCGGGTGAGTTAACGGCTCATACGTGATTGACGGGCGCGTGGAGCAGCGGCGCTGCAGGTAGAAGGCGCGTAGCTGGCGATAAGCCCCGCCTCCTCGCCGAGGTACAACAACGAAGCCACGAACTAACTGCCCCCCCCCCCCCCCCCCCGCGTAAAGGACCCAGCGCTCCACATCTGGTCCACGGAGACATTCCGGGCTTCTCTTTTTAACCCCGAGAAGCGGGGAGCGTGAGTGACACCGAACACCGAGCCGGGGGGGGGGGGGGGTGTTGGGGCTCCCGCGGCGGAGGCCCGACGCGAGAGCCTTCGCGGCGGCTCTCCAGCCTCCAAGTTACCTTCGGCCGCCCCCCCCCCCCTCCGCCGACGCGAGCGAGCCCCCGCCTCTAACCGCGCTCCGCCCGGCGAGGCCGGCGCAAAAGTTTCGAGACTTCGCACCGCGGACCCGAGAGTTACCGAGCGACCCCCCCCCCCCCGCGGACCCGCCGCGGCCCGCGCTCTCAACGGGGCTTTCTTTCCCCCGCCGCCCGCCCGACCCCCACTCCGCTTTCTCCCGGCGCTCTGGTCCCCCGAGGGTCCGTGTGGCGAACAAAGTCCAACGTACCGTCAACCGCCGACAGCAGCAGGCAGCCCCACAGCAGCGCGAGCCGCAGCCGAGCGCCCATTTCCCGTCCCGAGCGCGTTAGATCCATAAGTCCCGCTCCATCGTCCGGAGCTTCTCCTCAACTAAAGTTGTAAAGACGTCCGCTCCTCCGCGTGTACGCGCGCGCGCGCCCTCTCTCTCTCTCTCTCTCTCTCTCTCTCTCTCTTTCTGTCTCTCTCTCTCTCTTTCTCTCTCTGGCTCGCGCGGCTCGCTTTATACTTTGGACTCTCGAGCTCGCGCACGGACGAGAAGGGCAGGCGGACGTGGTGTGACGTCATCCGACACGAGGCAGCCAGGGTGTTTTTTTTGGTTATTTGACCCGTGTGCTCATGTTATAACTGTGTAATAATGTGTTATAACTGTGTATTTGACGGCGAGCTGCGCTTTTCGAAAACACGTAGCAATGAAACGTATTGGTGGATTTTACACATGCTCTTGCTCATGCTCTTGAAGTTGATTGTGGACATTTTTATAACGACTTATCTGGAATGTTGCGTTTAAATATGCAAATGAGACGTTATGTAATGCCAACTTTAGGTACATTTAGCAGAAAATCTACACGCGCAAATAAAACAAAAATGTGTATTTGTTCTTTCCACTAGTGTGAAAGAAGTGCATGAAACACTCGTGTTTAATTCAGTTTTAGTTTATTTAATTTAATTTAATAATTTAATATTTCTATCTTGTTATATTGTATATAATGTGTATCTTTTCTATTTTATTCCCTGTACATGCTGCTGTGATACCAAAATCTGGGATCAATAAAGTATCTATCTAGTCACATCCTCTCTAATCTAAACTTCACCTGCTATATAGGCGACAGAAGTAAAAGTGTATATTTAACCAGACACAAAACACTTTTATTCATAGCAATATTTCATTCATAACATGATTGAATTTTGGGGCTAGTTATGAAATGTTTCCTCAAAAGAATCATTCATTTCCCTTATGACATGTAACATACAAGGAATGAACTACAGGAAGAAAACAACCGTAACAACTAAATGTTTGACGTGTTTCTTCTCAGCACAGACAAAAGATGACAATTTATTCATACTTGCACAATACATGTTTCATTGCCTGCACAGTTTAAAGTGCACATATGATTCATTTATGTCCAAAATAAATTCAATTAAAAATTTAAATAAATTAAGCAACAGCGTTAGAGTTCTAAGAAGCCCTTTTAATCAAAAACTCAAAATTCAGAAATAACGTGTTATTATTTAAAAATAGTCCCAAGTAATGTTTTATAATCTCAAAATTATTTTTTAGTATTTTAAAATGATGTCTTATTGTGCCAAAAATTCTCAAAACAACATTTATGTATTTTTTTGCATCGTAAAATAATGATTTAGCATGTCAAAATAATTACTAAGAATTTTGTATATAGTATAATTATTTAGTATCTCAAAATAATAAGTTAGTATTATAAAAATAATGACTTGGCATCTCAGAGAGATGATAAATATTCAGTAAATTTCCAGAAATGGGATTCCATCCACTGCTTTGGTTGGAACCTGCATCGACAGCTCTGATCAAAGCTTCTCTTTATTTCGAAATTCCAGTTCACTATTTTGAGCTTATAGTTCCTCATCGAGAGCCTCTTTCATCACAGAGGAACTGGCGTCCATCACACAGCAGCCGGCGTCCAGCCGGCCTTCATTCTCCCAAATGGAATGTAATGCCTTCGGCGAGCGTACATGAGAAGGTGCCGCTGGGCTTCTCGTCGACAATTCTGGCCTCTAACGTCTTTCCCTGCAGCGCCTAACGATGGATCCTCCAGTACGCATTCTGAGAACACACGAGAACAGAACATCCTGAACAATGGGGGTGAATTATCCGGTGGATGTTCTCCGCTGGACTCCGCGGCGATCGTTGGAGAGACTTTATGGCATCACAACAGCACACACACACACACACACACACACACACACACACACACAGTGATGGAAAACCCAGAAGAAAAAGGTCCCAGAGCTTTTCACACTCACCTGAAGCCGAGCCAACCCTGGCACGTCTCCTCTCCTTTCTCCAGGCCTGGTTCCTCGGCTCCAACTGGCCTCCACTCCAAAGGCTGCGTAAACCCAAAGCACATGTTCTCCCCCCCTCGGTGGACCAGGCAGCCAGAGATTCCAGGCCGGAGCACACGCAGCACAGGCCAGGTGGGACCGTGAGATGGATGAGTGCCGCGGGGGCTCGTTCAGGACGACCTCGCCGCCAGGGAGCGGTGCGCTTCTTTCGGCGCGGTAATGGCGGTTTGCTGGTTTGTGGGGGACTGGTAACGCGCCGCGTGAAGCACCACCATTAACATCTTCTAGGTTTGGAACCAGGAGGACTCTTCATGGAGGGGGACGAACCGTCCCTCGGTGGAGTCGCGCAGATGTTTGCAGCATAAAGAACCTGCATGCCGTGCACAGATTGACCTTTAACCTCTGCATGGTTAACTGATGCTGTTTGGTTTACGCTCTTCTTGTGTTCACAGCTGCTACTTTCCCCCCGATCCGCTTGGTTTGCTGATCGCGTCGCGTCCCTTCGGGCCCCCGTTCGCAGCCTCCCGGGCCCCGCCGCTGGAATGCTGTAATGAAACATATATCTTTCTCCCCCCCAGTCACCTGCGAACACGAGAGCCGCCGGCCTCGCTTTTCATCCACCCGCCCGCCGCCTTCCACACGCAACGAAACCATCCCTGCGTTGGTCCGCGGGCCAACGCCGGGCCTTGTAACTCCAAAGGAGTTACAAGGCCCGGCGCAACAAATACCTCCCTCCCCCTCCCCCCTCTCCCTCCCCCCTCTCCCTCCCTCCCTCCGTGGGTAACGAGGAGCAGGTGAGGCTCCCCGCTGTCTGGGGCTTTTATGAAACAGAGCGGTTTAACATGTGGGAGGCTGGAGCAACATGGCTGCCTTAAAAAGCCCCGAAGAACCCCGAAGAACCCTGAGGAACCCTGAGGAACCCTAAAGAACCCCGAAGAACCCTGAGGGACCCTGAGGAACAAGCCGTTGGATGGATGAATGTCAGTGTGCGTGCAGGCGGACCTGCGAGTGCTGCACTCTGTCGTGTTTCACAATGTGTGTGTTGGGTCCCAGCGAGCGTCACCCACATCCACCCGCTCGGGGGCCTCCTCCACCCGCCAGCAGCCGGGACGCCGTCTCCACCTGCTGGCGACTGAACCGAAACAACCGGCGCGGACCGGAATTCACCACGCGCCTGCTGATAAGTGGACGTGATCGTGACCTGACGTGAGTTTGGTGCACTCGACGGCGCCACCTGCAGTTGGAAAGCAACTGATTCTCTCTTGATTGAAGACGTGAGTCCACGGCCTCAAACGCCAGTTTCAAATCTCCTCCAGAACAGCGGGATGTTCATCAAAATCCATTTAGGGTCAAATAAAGTGAGCGTGGTATTCTTTAGGGGGCGGGGTCACGGTGATTGACAGCTCGTAGTCCCGGTCTGGGAGTGGTCTGTGCACTCGTCTCAGGACTTTTTATCTGGGACTCTCGCGCGGCGCCGGCAGAGTCACGTGTTGTTTGTTTTAATCCACATTTAGAAACAATAATCAATCTGTGCCGGCGAAGGTCGGGAGAGACGGACTGATGAGAACCTGCACGTGCGGTTTCTGTAGTTACAGGACCGGCCCGTTGGCCGTGACCGGCGCGTCCCGCGACGCCACAAGCCGCGTCGCACCAGATAAACACGGTGGAGCCGCCGCCGCCGGACGACGATGGGCTCGGTTTGAGAAGTGGGCGAGGATCCGCCCCACGGCGACGTCACACAATACTGGCAGCTGTTGCCCGACAATCAAACCAGGAGCTAACCTCTGACCTTTGACTTTCTGAAACGTACCTTCCTGTATGATGGTGTTGGCCAGGATTTAAGGATACGGGTTTTGTTTGAGAGCTTTATTAGTCGATATGCCGAGTCAATTAACTCGCGTTGTGACTGACAGATGCAAACTCAATGGCTCCCACGTTTCCCTCTTAAACGTGTGTTTTTCTGCTGTGTGTGTGTGTGTGTCTACTTTCCACAGTCAGGAAGGTCTTTTAGCAGCAAAACGCGGAGAAATGCGAGTCGACTTTAAGGGCCAATTAGAGAGACGCCCACAAGTAATATTCATTGTAAGTTATTTGTATTCCACAAGCATTCGCCAGGTGAGCAGAGATCTCGGGCCAGGTGTGCGTGAGCGACAAGCGGTGCCGTGATGGAGTGAACACGGCCAACATCTGGCCGACTCTCCGCCCACACGCCACGTGGCTGAAGAACACTGCGTGTTTGTATCGACTTTTATTGTCGGCTGCACATTATATTCATGATATAAACCGGTTATTTATGTTTCACATACTGACGTGTTTACAAGGATGCGAGAGCCTCCTTCTCTGCACATCTGCCCCCCCGCTGACACACCTGGCGCATCTCCAACAGGTTTTCATCCATAGCACATGTGGGTGGTGTCAGACACGGGCACACTGGCCAGATGTGGTCGCCCAAACAGCAACGGCAGTCCTGCACGAAAAGGAAAACACTCCACAATGTAAAGAACAGAGAAACAAAATTGGCCGTTGTCTTAAAAGCTTAAAAGAAATCTGTTGCATTGGAAGAAATGAAGTAACACTTTACGCCAAACGTCATTTCCACAGCAGACGTGTAGGTAGGTGCGAGAACATTGGCACACTATTCATTATTCAAGCGAACACAGTTTGAACTTGTGCTGCACCAAGAACATGTAGCACCTCCACAGCCAACACGGACCAAAAGGAGGACAAATCTATTCTATTTTGTTCTATTCTATTCATTTTGTTCTATTCTGTTCTATTCTATTCTGTTCTGTTCTATTCTATATTTTGTTCTATTCTGTTCTGTTCTATTCTATTTTGTTCTATTCTGTTCTGTTCTATTCTATATTTTGTTCTATTCTGTTCTATTATATTCCATTTTATTCTGTTCTATTCTGTTCTATTCTATTCTGTTCTATTCTATTTTGTTCTGTTCTATTCTATATTTTGTTCTATTCTGTTCTATTCTATTCCATTTTATTCTGTTCTATTCTGTTTTATTCTATTCTGTTCTATTCTATTTTGTTCTGTTCTATTCTATATTTTGTTCTATTCTGTTCTGTTCTATTCTATTTTGTTCTATTCTGTTCTGTTCTATTCTATATTTTGTTCTATTCTGT